TCATTTGGCGATACATTTCATAACAATTCGAAAGCCGACTTTTACTAAACTTAAGTATGTTAAATGGAAAATGAAAAGGAGGATCTTGAAATAAATCACTGATTAAAGTCTATATGAGGTTCGTGTGCATTTTTCAGAATCAATGGCTGTTTTTTGTTGACTTAGAACGATCTTTCGTGTTGATGCTAATACTTCCTTAACAAGTGCCATCTGTTTTGGAGAATACATACTAACCTTGCGTAAGCGTACGCTTTGATTGCCGCTGCTGCGCGTGAAGTAGCCCAGTAAATCCTAGATGTATGACTAGAAAATTGCCATATTTTTCTTTTCGTATTCTTGTGGAGAAGTTCGAGCATCCGTTTAGTTGTCTTCTTGCGCTACAGTTGATATTACGCCAGATGCAACTGCTAAAGGTCGTCGACTGTTGGAATGCATAATCACTTCTTCTGATTTGATGTTGAAGAAGGTGATAACGGTCACCGAAAAACATGCAGGAGAAATAGGAAATGCTTTTCTCTAATGATTTTCTTGTTGCAGTGGCAGTCTATTGTAAGAGTCAGAAACGTGCTTCACGGTCTTGTGATTGGCGAAGTCTTAGTAGGCGTTGCTCATATTTTTCCCTGCCTTGTTACCACTACTTTCCGTGCCTACTTTTCACACTTGTATTTAAAACTTTGTATGCTTCGGCTTCGATTGTGCGTTGGATGCGGCTCTTATTATTCCAAGTTGGTGTTTCATTTCCATACTATCTCATTCTCGCAGCTGGTGTACTGATGTTGAATGAGGCGATAAAATTGTTTGCCGATATTTTCGTCGGCGCTATTCCCTCGCAAGCCTGTGTTGGGAGCAAGTAAGCTTAGTCTATTGCTGCTATGGTATTTGTCTTCCTAATTATATTACTTGATTCGGAAGACATAGGGTTCCGACTAGGCAGGGTTCGGAGCCTATTGAAAGCTCTGGAAAGTCGTCGTTACCTAGGCAGATTCTTTGATTCTATCACGATATTTTCTACTGCTGAAATCCTATGATCATTGTGGAAGATTTTTATAGCATAAAGCCCAAATAGCTTGTGTTCCTAGAGTAATAGCAGCTATGTGAAGTCTTCAAGAGTTCTTCTGCACAAAATCTTGCCATCGAAGTAGCGTAGTCAATAGAGATTACTAAGACCAATGTAACCTCACATCTTTTGAACATTAAATGTAGAACAACATCAGCGCTGTTGATCACTATTTTGCACGCACTCTTAGAAACAATGAGAATGTGTGTTACAAGCGGTTAGAGACGTTCTCGAATACAAACGTGATGGTACCCTACTGCTCTGGGAAGATTGCATGACTCGATAGATTGCTACGGCACAATAATCTGTCTCGCAGGCCAAAAACGTAATCATTCACCTATAAGAATATTTGATAAAGCTGAATGTATGGCGTATCTCTTGAGGACTAAGCACTGCTAAAGTTATATCGTTTTCATCTACTAGACTGTTCTCCTGTGGTATCAATAATCGCTTTGGCATGCGATACCTTCTCACTTTCTCAAGTATGATAACATCTTTGTTACCTTTCTTAGCCTGCACCATCAGGTCCTCAATGAAAGATCCAGATGAGTGTGTAAGCACGTTGCAAGCCTGAATGCTAAGCTCAGCAAATCAACGTTGAAGCAGCTGAAAATCACAATCAGATTATAATAACCTCTTCATATTCGTTTTGCCCCACAATACCATATCAGAAGCACTTTCACGGTCATGAGAATGAAGCCCATAATTCCTTCACATGTGACGACCAATACCGAGAGGACAGATGCGCTTATGTTTAACTTATCGGATTGTTTACAGCAAAGAGAACTATAAGAAAATTAAAGGCCTTCCTTGATTCTACTTCCTGGAGGCACTCTCAAACCTTTCATATGAACTCAACCATGACATGCTTTTACCCAAAATGGGGTGTTGTATACAAAACACATAAGCAAACATACTTGCACACACATCAGATTTATGTCTGCGTGGATGCAAAAGGTTTGCGTAAATAGATGCTACAGAAAAGGAAGTCTATACCCTGCATGTCCTGTGTCTAAGCAAAGTACGAGGTAACTATTGGTCCGCAATCAGCTCTCCGTCCGTTAAAAAACCTCATTTGGATGGACACTATGATCAATTCTATCCAAACAATAGTCGTGACAAGTTTGCTTCTCCTACGGCTTGTGACTGAATTGTGATAAGAAGTTATGAGGACCCCAGAATAGCATTTGACCTAGATTGCAGGTATATTTCCCTGCAAAGACGGTGGTTAACGTTTCAGCGATTTCGCCTTCCTCACGGCTAATACTATTATACCCTAATATCTCGGTTAATATTTCTTTATTTCAGTGACAAACCAATGCAAAAACCAATTTAGATGTTCACCTAGTCATGAAGCCCACCGTTCAACTACCAATACAGGGTGCGAGAAAAGTCCAGATAGTTCTATACCTTGTTAATCCTTTGAAGACGGCAGTTGGTCGATCGCACATCGTATCTCGCAAGAGGCGTGCGATTTTCGTTATTCAATTAGCGTTTTTCCTTCATTTTGGAAAATGAAACTTTAGGTTTCTTGTATTACCCCATGATTTTCTCTACACGGTCATGTGCTTTTCGTGCATATATAACTTTTCTGCACGATAAAAACTTTAAGTGCGACACGTTATTTTTCATTAATCTCTCGCAGCTTTCTATGATAACCTTTCAGAAAAAGCTATCACAGCATTGAAGTTTTTGAGATTTGGCTACCCAACGACTTAAAAGGTGTGGTAAAGGGCTATATGAAAGCTCCAGCCGAGCACATAAATCGGTTCGAGTGCAAAACATAATTTTATTTTCGATGCTGCAACATAACAAAAAGGCTTTTTCAGTTGAACAAAGTGTTGAAATTACAGAGATTTAAGCTGTCGATTGATTACCAAGTGTTTAGGATAAAAGTTTTGCCCCGCGAGAAAGACACTCAAACAACGGTTAATAAACTAGTACACGTCGTCCCTTAGAGGTTAATTTTAGCATTGATATAATGTTTTTGTAAATTCGCATAACTTTCTTGAATTTCTTTCTTCATTTTTACTCCAGAACGCATTTATTTATTTGCTCATTTTCAGTTCATCTTGAGTTATGGTTCCTAAAAAAGAACGTGTCAGTAGTTGTGACAAGGCGGAAATGAAGGCGGCCTTCATTGTTAGAATAAAAGTTTCAACCCGACAAATGCTTACAGAGCCGTGAAACGCTTTGAAAAGATTTGAGGGATTGAGGATCGTCCTAGAAAAGGTTGTCCAATCATCTCGTCTAATCTGGAAGAATCCAGAAAACCCATCGCGAAGTTCAGCGAAATCCGGAGCGTTCGACGCGCAAAAAAAAAAAAACTCGGGAAGCTCGCGATCAGTAAGTAGAGCGTGCGAAACCTTGCCAAGAATAAGCTGAAGGGTTCATTGCGCATTCACAAGCTTGCCTGTGTTCACTTTCTGGACGAAGAGACGAGATGAAAATGGCTTTCAAAGGCTTGCCTAATAATTTGTTCGATCGCTGATGCTTGTTTGTCGAAGGTGCTACTTACGGATCAGAAGATATTTACGGTTAAACCACCCATAGTCGCCATAATCGACGTCAAATTCAAAGAATATTCAGCTTGAGTTCGCCGTAGCAAAACCATGGGCCGCAGTCAATTTCCGGCCTCTGTGATGGTCTAGGCCGACGTTCCTCATCGCAAAGACATCGTTGTACTTCATCAAGAGAAACATCAAAGTCAACGCTGCCAGCTATCAGCAGCAAGTTTTACGGTACATAATAGAGTTTTGAAGTACTCAACACTTTGGTGTCGACGGATTCACGCTTCGACAGGACTGGGTTGCAACGCATTTGGTCCGCGCAACGATTGCCATCTGTCAAGCGCTCTTTCCAAGCTTCTCGGGCAAGGACATTTGGTTGTCAAGCTCGCCTGATCTTAACCCAGTGGATTACTCTGTGTAGTACGTACTAGATGAAAAAGTCTCAGCTACTCGCTACATTAGCGCAGATGCGTCTGAAACGGCTTTGACAAGCGCTTGAGACGATATTACGGTGGGAACGTGTGCGAGGATCGCTGGAAATTCTTGCAAGAGACCGAACGATATAATGTATTTCAAAATACCAGCCAAGAGCGATCGAGTGTACAACACTACTGATTTAGTGATTTTCACTTGACAGCAGTGTAGTGTAGATCGTTCGTCTTCGCTTACTCTTAGCGTGGGGACGGGAGCACTCCTAGAGAACAGACTATAAGACGAAGGGTTCTGCCCGACTGATGAGATTGTCAAGGTTGAAACACGTGTACCGGACTATACAAGAGTCCATCAACAGACTACATGACATGTTGGCACAGATAACAATTATGAGCTATATTGAAATTTAAGCATGATCTTAAGTAAACACTCGAAACGGACGGTATAAAATTTTTGCAAGAGACTTCGTAAATGTGTAGAGACAGAAGGAGGTGATTTTGAGGTTTAGCTGAAAGTTTTTTTGCTTATGTTATAATTATTCATCTAATAAACGTAATTTTATCTCCAGTTGAATATACTGACTTCTTCGTGCACTATTTCTTTGCTGAAATAATATATAAAAAATTATCAAAACTTTTCTTTCACCCCGTAAAGGAGAGTTCACTGATGTGTTTTCCTCGTGCCCTGAGATTCATCAGAGTTGTCATCGTTATGTCTTTCTTCCATATGTGAACCTAGAGGACTAGTTATGCGACTTCCCGGCTTTTCATCCGAGTGTTTTTCAGTCTTTCATATGAACACACGGTAGTCCACTCTTTTATATGTGTCTTCGTTACCACATGTCGTGCAATGTATCAGGTAAACTATACATGCATTCTACGCTCTCCATCCCTATAATTAGGGAATATCACGTGGTCCTCCTTTGCACAGAGGGCCGTGCAGAGTTCCAGTAATGCAGAGTGATGTGCCAAACTTTTTGCGTCAAGAGTGGTGGAAAACAGGCGTTGGTAGTACAACGGATTAGAACACGCGCTTCCGGGTAGAGTGAATGTGGGTTCGAGTTCCGCCCAACGCAAAAGTTTTACACATCACTCCACGTTATTGGGTAGACCTATAACATATGCTGCTATAGAGCAGTTGAATAAAGAGAATTCTGGTCGTACAAACTGTTTCAAATCAGTTGACGGCGTAATGTGTTAGTTGAAATATCTGTAATTCTTACGGAGTTTTCTGAACCACTGTTTTTGAGCCTCTTCTAAGCGGGACTCATTTGGTTTGATACGAACGGTACTCTAAAGGCTATCTCCTATTTGGGCTCGACATCCTGTTTTCATTATGCGGCCTGTTTTCTTTTATTTGACCTAGCGTCAGTGACTGCTCTTTCGTATTCATTTGAGATAGCTACTTTTCGAGCGAAGGAACTAATTTCTTCTTCTCTTGCACTCTCACGAAATCACTTGTAGGTGTTCTCTACATGTTCCCAACAAGTGCTTTTTTCATATGTGAGAGATGACAAGGGAAACGGCTTTCGATACTTCGTAATGTGACAACTAACAAAAGGGTGTACTTTAAAGTTCAAAAATGGAGTGCAGTTCTCCTTAGGTTTTCTCGTGTGAGCTTGATAGACGCTGACTGTTCAGTCAGCAGATCGAGACAGCTTCCTTTCAAATTGAGTGCTTCCTTTCATCGTTTATTTGAAATCGGAAAGCAAAGCTACTAACGAAACCTGAAGTGAAGCGGTACGGATAAAAAGTTATGTGAGAACTGTCGTCAAAAAATTTACTCAGGGATTTCACACCATACTGATTAGAAGTCCGAGTACTAATTTGCTCCGTGATCCTTCGAAGAGTGGCTCTTCTTCATTAAGCATTTGCTCAATTCCCGTATAACCGGGCGTTTACCAAAAGCATAGGCGAAGCTCCTCTGGATCACATTCAGGGACGCAACTATCTCTTCTCCTGTTTCCAGGGGTTCCGGAATGAATTCCACCGAGTACACGTGAAGGACACACTATGTATTCGTGTTCGAAATAATAGTTTAAACGTTCTCCTCCTCCAAAATTGTCAATGATTGGATTGTAGCACATACTGACAATGAATAAAACTTCGAAATATATGCCGTTCTTGAAAACGGCTTCCATGTTTTGCTTAAAAAAACTGCTACTTTAAAGCTCAAAAAATATTGCGAGGTTTCGGGTGGAGAACAAAAAATATTCAGTGGAAGTAGAACATCCCAAAACTGGACTGTAATCTTTCGGCAAAATTTTATCGACTCCTAATCATATAGACAGTAATGACCGACTTAATGAGCACTTTTATAGTTTGGCCACTAATTTAGTCTCTTTTGTCATGTAAACTTAGTCCTTTGACCCAGTCTGGCTGACAAGTTGGTAACAAAGTTGTCAAAGAGATCAAAACTTCTTGTAATTTATCGGTGGACCAAAGCAAGTCATTGCATAGGCTACTTATGTAACCGACGATCATCTCTACGAGCCCAATAGATTCGAACGCAAACCGCATCTTTCAGGAAATGATCTAGGCCTCTTAATTCGTCCTTTCTTTTTCTGTGCTTGTGATATTATGATATCTTGAATTTTAGTCCAGTTGAGATTTTTTTCAGGAATCTCCTATTTGATTGTAACATCTGAGCATAATAGTGCTTCACCGTCTATTGTACCAGATTCAAACATTGCCATTGGATCTGATATCACCTGTCATGTTCTAGTCCAAAACCAGATTCTTGAAAATTTATGAAAATCTCAGAACCTATTCTAGCCTAAAATACTTTAAAAACTTATTACATTGACTTTCGAACTCTTTTCTTTCTTTCCTTGCCTTTTTGTGACGCTCCTGCACATATCCTGCTCTACCAAAGAAAGCGAAGTTATCAAGTGAAAGGTGGATGATTTATTGTTCAGGTGCTGAATTTCATGTACTTATATTCGATAACAGTAATTTAGCAGTAATTACACGTTTTAAAGTTTTTGAAAATTGAAATGCATGGCAAGACAGATTTTGATTAGCGCTATCGTATTACTCTGTGAGATGATCACGAGACATTGAAATGAATAAGTTCAATTTTCTTCAGTTCTTAATTTTCACGTTTCACTCTAATGCAATTCAATCCAGTGATTAAGGAAAGTTCTCTACTGGGATTTTCCTAGTGATGCAGTTTTTCAAATCCATCGAGAAAAATTCCTGCGCAGCTCGGTTAACTATTGAGAATTCTGCGGCATCTTAGGTAGACGTTGAAAAATGTTTGCTCACTGTTATAAAGTAAAAACAATTGAGCCTCTTTAGGTAAAATTCAGAAACTCCAGAGTTCTAAAGAACAGGGAATTTGATTTTGGAGTTTTTAGAAGGAAAATTGGAGAACACACTTATCTTACTATAGTAGCGGTGTTTTTTTTCACATTCTGGTGTACATCATAAATAGCATATGAGAACTACCAGTAATTACACGTTGATATGAAACCGCATTCGAAACAAATTAGTTTTTGTTTTCTAGAATGCTTTCCGAAAGCCAAATCCTCACTAATCGAAAAGGCGAGCGAATTAGAGAATGTTTCGTGAATATCCAAATTGGAAAAGCGATGACGATTCCCAGAGTTTTGTTATTCAAGTAAAGTATGCAATTTCTGTTCACCAGGAGGAGTACTGAAATCAAGGTGGTAGTGTCTATCCAAAACAAAAATTTTGTTACCGGAATATTCGAGGCACTCAAGAAATTGTGCTTGAAATAAATCATTCATTTTGTATCCTTTAAACAACTTGTGTTCTCGTATGATGGAACAAATTTGCTGTAAATTCATTATAGCAAGAGCTTTGTTTTCTATTCTTTAGTGCTTAATTCTGTTACTTCAATATTATTAAAATTGGGCAATGAATGCTCATAATTTGTGGGATCTTTCCGCTAAGAGTGAACTAATACCATTAGAATTCACCACTTCACCATGTCATACACATCAAGCACCTACTCTGTTTTCCACGTGTTGTTTGAACCATTTAAGACCACTGAATACCTACGTACTACTAAACAACACTTCAAACCAACGTTAACGGTTAGAGAATCAAAAATTGACTGCGTTCGTGGCACACTGCTCCGGTTCGAGCCGTCAAATATTTTTTTTTTGTGATAAATGTTCGATCAAAAAAGTCAGTGAATTGTTAAAACTCAAAATTTTTCATCTTCTCAATGCTTATACCTCACTAAGGAGCCCACAGACACATTAGTGGTAATGCCGATAATTACGATGACAGTGCCATTACGACCCCGCTCCGAGTTCACCAAGCCTCCCATAAGTCCGAAATCGAAAATTTGCTACCAGATTTTTCTGATGAAATTTCACTCTTTGCAATTCAGGTAGAGAACACTCTAGCCTGGCTCTCCCAAGCCTTTAGGGAAAGTCGACTCGGCCATCAGCCAATGCCACATAAGGCAAACGAAAAGTTCTCAAGCAGCAGCTGAATCCAGACGCAAATAGTTATCCCTTCGTGGATGGCCGATGGAAGGGAACAATTGAATGCAAAAAATGCTCGAATTGGTGCATGAGATGTTGAAGCTGAGTCATGTATATTAAATAGAAAGAGTACTCACTATTGAGTGAAGCGCTCAGACATCTATGTGGTTTGCAGCTTACATCCAATCGTAATAGTTTGTTACAGTTTAACATTATGATAATCTCATGTTTTTCCAAACTCAAAAGTAATTTTGAAAGCTTTTTTGCCATTACTTTTGTGTCTCCTTCTTCTTGACGTTTTCTTTTTGTATAAATACATTGGTAACCATATTGAAAAATGTCGGGACGTTCATAATTCATTGAGATATGATATTATCTGAACTTGAAGTTTTAGAATATTACATTAGCATTATTTTTTGAATCCTGCAATATCGATAAGCGTGAATCTTTATAGATACCTGCGAGTTTCGATGGGCAGATCAGCTCTTGATTCTTCAAACTTATTTCAGTTTCTGGTGAATGAGTTATCCGGTTCAGGGCTGCATTAGAAATCACTACGCACAGCGCGAATTGCAGAGCGACGAGCGATTCTCGTTATTCAATTGAAGTTTTTTCCTTCATCATCGATAATCTTCGCGTTTCCGGCTTTGCTTTGGCCCACCATGTTCGATCTACACTCTCATATGCTTTTGTAGCATATGTAGCTCCTTATAAAAAGCGCCAATTTCCTACGCAATCGTACTATTAATGGTATGTGATCAAATGTAATGAGTCGTACAAAAGATATTACGATATAAATCTTCATGTTTTGGTAGTTTTTATCAAATATAATATTTATCAAATATATATCTAAAACTTATCACATCGATTAAATACACGAAAATAATAAATAGGTGACTACAAATGATGATGCATGTTGCATGCGATTCCAGCTCATCGATAATTCTCAATAGTTTTTGAGTTATTAGTGTGCCTTAGAACTTAGGACCTGTATAGAATCATAGAACATATGTTCTTCAATTAATTCATAGGTTCCCGCTTTTCTTATGCATTAACTTATACTTCATCATAAATGATATTCGTCGTTGCAACCTTAGCCTTTGCACAAGCCTATTATTTTTCTCATTGTACATACATTTCTACTTGATCGCCCTTGAGGCAATTCCTTGTACCTCTCTCATATTCCAACCTCTTAAAATAACTTCAAGTGACCACTTACAGTCGCTGTGGCTGTTCATCAGTAAACCAGAGACCTGATCCGCCCAGCTGCTTCTCACAACTATCGTCCTCCACTTTCACCGCCTGGATACATAGACTTTGTTAATTTCTACGGATTATTCATAGTTTATATGTGCGGAGTGGAGCCGAATACTTTTGCGTTAGGGAAGAGCTCCGTGCGATAAGGTACAGGCGCATATAAGAAAACCACTGAGCACTGCATGCTTCTCGTTTGTTCATGTTGTCCGTCGGCAGCTACTGTCTTCGGAAATGCGTCCTCGGAAGGGGCCTAACCGAGAGTCAATTTAATCTTCCCAAGCTTTGAAATAGGAGAACCCTTCAAAACCGCCGTCAATATTTTGCTGTATTATGCATAGTCATTCAAAGAAAACTGATTT